GAAATTCATCTTTCTTTCTCATTTGGTGCTAAACATTTTCTTGATGTCCATTGTGATTTTTTTTTATAGACGCATGTGTTATTAAAAATGGATTTTACTTTTCCAAGTAGATATTTTTGCAATTCTTTTCTACCCATTGCATTGTTTCCAAATGATACCACTAAAAAAAAAAAACCTATTTCATTTATTTTACTACCAATATGTAGTCAATCCTATTTATGTATTTCACTTTATACTAATATTATTAGTATATTTGTCTTAGTCATATAGTTATTGATTATATTGACTAATCTGTAATGTGAATTCTCTGATTGACGAGTATGTTCTATATATAAGATCAAACTGTTACATAGTTCATATCTTTAACAATCTGCTTCATTTCTCAATTACCACAAGAATATTAAAATTTCTATGATGATGGGTTTGTTATTACTGCTGAAATTTGATGTATACATCTTTATATACAATGTCTGCATTAGTTGTTCTATATTTAAGTTGGCATAGGTTATTCACCAGCAGGTTGCTTGGCAATTACATTTAATTATTTCAAGATTTATTTATTTTTATTGGAAAGATAGATTTACAGAAAGACAAGGATTTTCTATCCACTGATTCCCCAAATGGCTGCAATGGTTGAAGTTAAGCTGATCCAAAGCCAAGAGCCAGAAGCTTCTTCTGGGTCTCCCACGTGGGTGCAGGGTCTCAAGGTTTTGGGCCATCCTCGACTGCTTTCCCAGGCCACATGCAGGGAGCTGGATGGAAAGTGAAGTAGCCAGGACACAAACTGGTGCTCTATGTGACACTAGCTCTTGAAGGTGGAGGGTTAGCCAGTTGGGTGAATATGCTGGGCCAAATAATACTGTTTTGTATCAAAAGCCAGCACGAGTCCCCCAAAAGATAGTCCATGCCTTTCAATATTCTGGCATTCCCTAATTCAGAGCTCTCCACTGGTGCAGGCATCGAATGTGAGGATAATCAGAAGGCAGTTCTCTCCCTCTTCCCTTTAAATAGCTCGTTTCCCCAGTAAGAAACAGAGCAAGAGATGCTCTGGGATCCTTCCCAGTTCCAGGTGGCAGCTGGGCTAGAAAGGCCTGACAGCTTTTTACATGGCTGATTAAAGGACTGACACTGAACAGCAGCGTTCAGACCTGCGATTCCTTCCAGAGCCCTTCGGAGAAGAGCCTGCGCAGACTGAGCCGACCACTGGGCCATCGTTGCTCACATCTGTGCTTGACCTTGAGTTGGAATCAGAAGGCCTTGGTAGTCCAGAGGTATTTCATAGCCCTGCTGCAGATCAAGACGTTGGTAGAAAAGACAGGAACTGAGCTGCAAGGAGTTGGTTAGAAGACGGGGGCCTGGTGCAGCCAAAAGGGCTCCTGGGCTGGAGGACGCGAGCGCCTCTCAAGTTCATGGCACCCCGAGGAGCAACAGCAGGAAGAGCCAGGCCTCTGCAGGGAGCAGCAGGATGTGGACCAAAAGACCAAGGGAGCCAGGCCACTGACCCCTCCTGCAGTGGATCAAGTGCCTCCAATAAACTGAATGGGGCCTCCCGTTCTCCAGAGCTTACAAACCTTGAGTACGTAGAGAAGCTGCTGATGCTCCCGTGTGGACACAAAAAGGAAGAGCGTGTGAACCTGGCCCAGCTGAGACTAGGAGCCCTGGTGGTTAGTGCCAGGGATCTAAAGACTGGTCGCTAGCTAGCTGCCTTTGTGATTTCCCAAAGGATGAGAAAAGGGATGCTGAATACAGCAAGTGTGTATACTTTTAGCAACAAAAGGAAGTGACAGTTCCCAAGAACCAACATGGACTGGACAAGGGGAACTAATGCCACCGTAAGCCTGGCCTCATTTGCTTCCATAGTGACAGAATTCGGAGCCTGTGAAATGAGAAGAGGGCATTCCCAAGTGCCTCCAGACCGCCAGCTCCTAAGCAAGAGGGTCTCACCATCACTGACTCAACTATCTTGGGAGGAAGACGTTTTTCATTTCCTAAAAGACCTACTCTTTATCTGAAAGGCAGAGTGAGCAGCTGAGAGGGGAGGAGAGCCAGAGGGTTCTTCCCTCTGCTGACTCACTCCTCAAGTGGCTGCCAATAGCCACAGCTTGCTCAGGCTGATGCCAAAAGCCAGGAACCCCTTTCCATGTTCTCCACATGGCTTGCTGGGGCCCAAGCACTCCGGCTCTCTTACGTTGCCCTTCGCAGGCATATCAGCAGGAAGCCGAGTCAGAAGCAGAGCAAGCAGGACCAGCCCTCTGATAAGGGAAGCCAGCGCTGCACACCACGAGGCCAGGCTATTCTCCCACTTCTCGAATAAAGACACTGAGCCACAGGATCAGCACTCACCACAAGCCACACAACACCTGGCGAGGCAGGATTTGAACCCAAGATGTTTGACTATAGAACCTGGCTAAGTTTCACTGCATCTAGTTGATTTCTCTTCATGTTTTTACTTTTTTTAATTTGGTTTTAAAATTTTTTAAAAAGGGGTTGGGGAATCCATGTTAAGCCAGAAAAAGACTTAAGGGTGAGGTGAAGTGGGGAACCCAAGGGCTGCCTTGGAGAAAGGGGGTTCCATGTCCAGGATCAGCACAGGGAGGCAGCAGAGGCACTGGGCAGAGATGGAAGTGATGCTGCTTGGTTCAGATCACACTGGCTGGCACAAGAGCAGGTGGCAAACAGCCCTTGTTAGGATCCTGGTGAACCAGCTTATGCCTGGAAAGAGCTCCCCGGGGGGGGAAAAAAAAAAGAAAAAAAGGAAAAAGCAATTGAAGGCAATGGAGAAATGTTGGGTTGTCAAAGTTAAAAAAAAAAAAATCCACCTTTTGTTAGAGAAAATACAGTGACTAAAAAATTAAGTCATTACATCCGAGAGCCAAAAAGGGAAAGCCAGCTCCATGTAAACCCCACCTGGCTCCATGAAGCCAGCGTTAAAAGATGATATTGCTAACCAACTGTTCAAGAAACATTTTCTTTTATCGTTAAAAGACGCTCTGGATTTTTCATCTTTGTAAAAATGAAAATTAAACTGTAGAAGGCAGCAGGTGAAATACTGAGTGTGTCAATCCCTACTCATTGCAAAGGCTGCTGACACACGGAGCATGAGGCCCGTCAATCTATCGGGCTGTCACCCACGGACCCACCAAGAGATGGGCCAGCCCATCGGCTCCTGAACACTCCAAGCAGGAGTTCCGGGCACTGGCTGACTCCTCCCCCTGGCAGCAGGCAGAGGGCAGTGGGAGAGAAGCGGCAGCAAGCTATAAAAAGCGTTATGTTTTATTTCCTTCTAAGGCATCCTGAGTCACAGCTCCAGCCCCCGGTGCCTGGCAAGGTTCGGCTCAGATCGGAAACGTGTGTGTGTGTGTGTGTGTGTGTGTGTGTGTGTGTGTGTGTGTGTGTGTGTGTGTGTGTGTGTGGTTTCTTCTACGCCGAGCTGCTGAAGGCCCGGATGATGTCAGAGCCCAAGGGGAAGCTGCCTCTCTCCTTCCTGGGAGGAGAGTGGATGTCACTTGAACAATCAGTGTCTCTGACCAGGGTTCAGCAATGACATCACAATCTTTAAAGCAAACCTGAACCTCTAGGTCCCCCTCCAACAGGGAACTGTGGAGACTTTAAAAGGTTCATTTGCCATCTCAAAGGACAGAGTCTCCTATGTGACTTTTGCCTCGCATCCCTCACGTCGGGCTGCCGCTTCAGTCCATGGAAACACCAAGTGATGCCACACCAGGTGGGTCAGAAGCCTAGAAAGCACAGGCTGGCAGCATCTCATCCAATAGCTATGTTTTACCTTGGGAAGCAGAGGTCCAGGGAAGTGAGGACCCTGGCTCCTGCATAAAGCAGGGGCTGATTAAAATGCGCTCCTCCTCCCACACCGCAGGTGTCTCAATGGTTTTAGCCAGGAGACACACACTTCGCCCCTTGGTCATTCCATCCCCTCTTTCTTTAACTCCCTGACAGTTGCTGTGCAAAGTGGAAAAGCAAACAGGTGGGGCATTCTGGGTAAGATCCCTCTGCCAACCCATGGGCAGCACTGGCTGAAGGGACAGCTTTGGCACCAAGGTGCTGACCGAAGCTGCAGCCCACGTCAGCTGCTCTCTTCTGTGAGCCACACTAGGGGTGCCTGCCATTTACAATTCCCGTCCTACCTTTAAAACTCATTTCTTTCTACAATCCCCAGACTCGAATCAACACTGAGGTGAGGGGGGAATCAATCTTTCCTAACACAGATTTTCTGCATAGGGGGCTGGTACCTGCAGCAATAGCATTCCATTTAGGTGTTGGTTTGAATCCCTGTCTGCTCCACTTCTGAGCCAACTCTCGATGGCCTGGGAAAGCAGTGCAGGGTGCCCCAGCAGCATTCCTGGCTTTGGGTTGGCTCAGCTCTGGCCATTTGGGAAGTCAACCAGCAGATGGAAGGTCTCTACCTTTCTCCTCTCTGTAACTGCCTTTCCAATAAAAATAAATGGTATTAAATATTTTGCAAAAAGCAAGCAAGGATAAACTCATGGTCTAAGAGAAGGGTTGAAATGTCAGCTTTTAACCACCGAAGTGCATCAATTTATGGGCCAGGCAGTTGGCCTCTTGGTATGCCCACCTCCTCTTCTCAGAGGTTTGAGCTTGAGTCCTGTCCACCTCTGCTTCCAATCCCAGCTTTGTGCTGTTGCACAAAGGCAGCAGGCGATAGCTCAAAGACTTAAATCCCTGCCACCCACATGGGAGACCCATGTTGGGTCCCAGGCTCCTACCTTCGACTTGGCCCAAGTATGGCTGTTGCCAGCACTGAGAAAGTGAATCAGCAAGTGACAAAAAAAAACAAAAAAAAAAACAAAAAAAAAAAAACCTAGCTTAAGCTCCCATCGAGCTGTAGTGGATGTGTCTGTGCCATTTTTTGTTTCCCAGCCACTGCGGCGCAAGGTCCGGGCAGCAGCCACCGGACGTACGTCCTGTTCAGAAGGCACGAATGATGGAGAGTTCTGCAAGCTAAAAACCTACACGGGTCACAGTTAGAGATGAAAGGCTGCAGAAATGTTTATTGAATACAGTGCCAGGTTTATAAATAAAACTTATTTACATTTCCCATAGAGTTGGTCCCCCATCAGAGAGGCAGTTAAAATCTCCAAACAGTTCATCGCGAGATTTACAGAGAAACATTCGGGTTACATTGCCTTCCCAAGGTGCCGTGGGGACCACCATCTTCGCCGCACACACGTGTTTAAGGACCAACACCGTCTGGATTTGGAGAGAGCACACCCCCGCCACCCACGGCACTATCTTCCTACTCCGAAGAGGATGCAAACGGCAAAGGGTTTCTGTCTCCTTTGGGACAGCTCAGAGGGAGTCTTAAAAAGAACAAGTGTTACTGCCAGCTGAAGGGGTAGGTTTAAGACACGTCAGTGGAAATCTAAGTCACTGCCGAAAAGGATAGATGTATTTAGGATTTACAATAAATAATCCAAAACGCTTAAAATGATTGAAGGAAGAGTATAGACTTGACCAAATTGACATTCCTTGTTCCGGAAAAAGTTCCCAGGATGCGGAAGGGCTAATCATGGGTTATTCCTCTGAAGTGACAAGAGGCGTAGGCCTCGCAGATGGCCGTTCATTTCAACATTGGTTACAAGTACGGTCACACATGCATTTATAAAGAGAATATAAAAATATGTACAACAGCTCATTTTTCAATGTGTTTGAAGTTGCTGAAAGACACCAACTTAAGTGTGCAAAAAAGTTGTCAGAAAATCAGAGAAAAAAACAAAACAAAACAAAAGCCTGCTCTGGCCAATAAATGGTCTACCTCAAAACCCCATGTGAAGACTTGAGATCCTTTGGCCTAACACCTACCCCAAAGAGACAGACATCACAACTAGCAAAAAGGGTTTGCCAAGGACTCGGCAAGTCTCAGGCTAAAGCAGGATGCCAGTTAGAACTAGATGCTTCCTATGTATAAATCTATGTATATATTTATAGGATGGTTCAAAGTTGGGGCAAGAGTTTACAGGCAGCTGTGAACCAATGTTGTGGGGTCCTGACTCGACACCCAGCTGTATCTCCTTTGCAGACTGCCACCACCGAACCCACTCAGGGCTGGCTGGCAGAGGCCAATGTGGCAGCAGCTTGGGGTGGGGTTCCTGCAAGAACCCTGTTCCAAAAGGCTAGGCTGCAGACGGTTGAAAGAATTCATCCAGCTTCTAGAAAGACTGAGTGAACAGAACAGAAGGCTAAGGGGGTTAAAGTGAGTCAAATCACTTCCTGCCCTCCTTTTGAAAAGACAAAGTGGGGGTCACTGACAACAAGTTACGTGACCCCTGGTAAAAAATCACCCAAGCTGGAAGCCCTCAACACACCGTCTTTCCAGGGTGCTCTGGGTATCCCTGGCAGGTTCAACAAACTGAGGAAGCCCACCCAATTGGGGTGTCAACCTCTCCTCCAGCCACTACCCCAGGCCCAAGCTCAGATCCAGGGCCTCTCCATAGCTCTGACCCATCCCTCCAGCAGAAAAATCTAACCAGCTACAAAACGCCAGAGAGACAGGGAGTAGGAGAGGAGGAGGAGCCCCAGGCGGCTCCAGAATCAGCCCTAAATGGCACCCACATGGACGCCAAGAGCTTCTTGATGCCACACTAGCAGCCTGCTGCTCATCCCCAGCAGATTCAAACCACCCCACAACAGACCTGTGACCCCCAGGTCCTGGCTAAGGAATCACAGCCAGTTGACACCTACAACAACACACAGCCAGCCTTCGTCAACAAGGCGCTCAGCACACCACCGATTTTCAAGGGGCTTTTTCCACAGACCGATCCCAAAGACAAGTACCAGCTTGTGTATAAATCTGGGCTGCAGGTTTATAATTAGACACAAAATTCATTCTGGGCTGGAGCAAGTTCCAAGCCACAGGCTCGCAGTAGTTCCGTGTGAGGCGGCTTGGAGGGGATGAGAAGCAGAAAGGAAGAGGTTTTAAAGGAGCCTAAGGTTAAGTATGCTCGTCCAAAGTCGCTGGTGGCGTCTTAGACCTTAAGACTGGCCTGGGAAAGTGCACTACTGCTTGTTGCACACAGCTAATGACCGAGTCAGGGACACCCATCACTCCAGCCCAGAGAACCTCCAGTTCGTCAAACAGGTCAGCCTAGAACCCCCAGGATTCACGCTTGAGATAAAGTGGTTTGTCCCCCAGCTCCACAGACCAGGAAGTCACCAGATTTGCTTTTCCCCTTCCTGTTCCTCTCCACGAAAGTACAACTGGACTCCGATGTCCATGAGCACGAGGAAGCCACTGCAAACAGCTGTTTTTAGGGATGGTTTTCAGCTCAGCAGATGGCGTCCAGGCCTGGGGAGGGGGAGGGGGCCCAGAGCTAGGCTGGGGGCACTTGTTAGATGGACGCTGGCCTTGTCCCCATTTAGATTACAGCTTTACAAAGCATTTAACACCACTTTAAGTTAATGGTCTTTTTATTGGAAAAAAAAAAAAAAGACTAGCATTTACAACTTGGAATGGATGTAAATTGTAGCTTCTTGAACAGCAATGTTGATGGTGTGCCGGAGTCCACAGCCACAGCCTACTCTACTGGCTCCAAGTCATGCTTCAGAAGGTTTTTAAGAGTCCTCAGAGGTGCTCCCTTGGAAAAGGTTTCTTATTAAAAATTAGCATCAACAATTGACAGCAGCCTGACACCCGGTGCCACTCTATACACAAGGCAGACACGCTAAACCAACCTACACACATCATGCCACCGGGCTGTGTCACTGTCACCCTGGGTCGAAGCACACAGATCTACAGGACTACCATCCAGCCAGTGGGCCTGCTTCTCCCCAGCTTCTTCTCCACCCACATCACGGCACATCGTCCTGCGGCTGACCAATTTTCAACGCATTTGTTTGCACTGAACCAGCTGTGACAATTTAGCCTAACAAATTGAACTAGAACCCATCTAAGCTTTGAATTTTTATATTTTGGGTTTTTTTTTTCCTTTTCTTGGGGCGGGGGGTTTAATACAAACGCCTGACTGTGCTCATCATCAGGCTCATGCAGGACGAACTGGCCAGCCCACACGGTGTGTTATGGATCATCAGCAAATGGAACCTGAAGGAGTCCCCGAGGGCTTCCTTAACCTTAAGGTAGTACAAGTATGTATAGTGTAAAACGGATGTGTGGCTTGATCTTTTAGGGACAGGACCACCAACCAATACATGCAGATTTGTGTGTTGTGTGTGGACAGAAGGTACTTTTGACATTCAGTTTTGCTATATAGAAACAGAATGAATAAATGAACTTTTTTCTTTCTTTTTTTTTTTTTTTGCAAGAGGTAAGTAAAAGATTCAATTTGATTTCTTCTAGAGGGGGGGAAAAAGGAGTTGAAAGGAGGTCTTCATTTTGCAGTCATCATCTGTACGAATTCTGAAAAGACAAACAATCACAGCTTGCGGTTATCTCCCAAAGCAGCCTCAAGGGACACAGCCACCTCTCCTCCTGGTGGCGGCCAGCAGGGCAGCTCCCGCGCCTGCAGGTGCTGCCGGCCACGACCACTCAACACCACGGACACTGGTCGCCTTACCTTCATAGTTGACCTGTCCGTCTCCGTCGATATCTGCTTCTCTGATCATTTCATCTACTTCTTCATCTGTTAGCTTTTCCCCTAAGTTGGTCATGACGTGACGCAGCTCTGCCGCGCTGATATAACCGTTTCCATCCTGTGAACATTCGGCGCCTGTTACTGATGGGGCTTTAGCAGGTGGTAGAGGCCAGGTCGTCTCCGACTCTAGGCCCCGTGACAAGGGACTGCCTACTCACAAGCTGCGGCTCCCACCCCCACCTACTACCGTATGTATGCAGTCAGCTCACGCAAGACCCGGGGCAGAGCTAGCACAAACTCAAGGCTGCCAATCCAACCTCTCCTTCACTATCAAGTCACACTGGCTGAGAAGTCAGAGGTTCAAGGTGCCACGCTCTACCCAGAGATGCCATAGCTTATGCAACCTGACAGCCCCAAGTGCCACACTTTGTACCCCGCACAACACACAAGTACGGTTACCTTGTCAAAGACTCGGAATGCTTCGCGGATCTCCTCCTCGCTGTCGGTATCTTTCATTTTCCTTGCCATCATAGTCAAAAACTCTGGGAAGTCAATGGTGCCATTACCTCAAGTGGAAAAAAAAAAAAGAAAACTCAACATAAGACAAGCATTCCCGGCCTCGGGCTGCTGTGCTGTCAGAACAAGATCACTGCAGAGAACAATCAGGCACTTGCTGGACCAAACCATCTTGTTAGTGTCTCTGTCACAAGCACCCCGGGGCGTGGTGAAAGCTGCGAAGTAAACTGCATAGCCTGGGTACCACGACCAGCGGCCTGGGCGGGGCAGTTCAAGAGCTGACTGCAGATCGAGTGTCTACTCTCCCGGGAGGTCACCCCAAACTAGGAACATACCAGATGATGGGGAGGGTAGCAGGAATACAAGAAGGAACATTTATTTTTCTCTGCCAGACATGAGGAAGCCTCAAGTCTTCTCCAGGGCCTATCTCTGCCACATCATGATGGCAAAGTCACCAGTTCACTTTGTCCCCCTAATTCAGACCACTTCCCACTAAATGACAAGCCCAGAAGTGTTCACAGCTTAGATCATGAGCACTTAGGGATCTGTCTTTATGACCAACATCTTCAACGGCAACTCCAAGAGACAGATGAACACCCCTGAACCCAGATGAACAGCCAAGAAGATAAAATCAGGGGGGAAAAAATGTCATCTCAATTACTCACTTCCACCAGAACCTGTAAGAACAGTCACTTCTACTTTTTCTGGGTGTCTGAGACACCACAGTGCTATCTGTGTCTCTCAATCACACAGCAAACAGGCGATCAGGCACTGGATTTCCTTACGGCAAACTGGGAACCTACAGCCTGCAGCCCAGCGCCACTGTCCCCTCCTGCTTCCGAGGCATCTGAAGGCCAAACACCCATCTCCTGAGCCCTGGCACCATTCCCCAGGGTTCACCCAGAAGAGCACGGTGAACTCAGCCCTGCTCCTACAGGGGCTCACCATCCTGGAAGTCCAACCACAGAGTACTAGGGACAACTTTCCTCCAAAACTCTACAGAAGGCTGATAACCATGTTCAGGAGGAACCGCGATGGACTGCAGGCTTCGCCATAAGCCCGACCACTCCCCCAGCCCAGGGCCACTGCACTACTCTATCTTCCAACGCCACATTCATCTAGAAGGTCAAGGTGAGACCCACACTGGTTATTTTCAGCTCATTTGAAAGGACATCTATTATGCTTTATAGAGTGCATTAATGCACATATTATTTGCAAAAATACACACTGGGGTGGGAAAGCCTGGTAACCATTTACTGGTGAGAATGAGAAATAAAAGGGTTGCTGTCCCCCGAGGTGGAGGCCACAGGACTGACCCATGGGCTGACAGCTGGCTCCTTCCGCCTCAGCAGCTGACACAGCCTCCACTTGTCTTGGGTCCTGCACATCCATTCCCTGTGGTCGTCACGCACCTGGCTGTGCGCATGACCGCCTTCAGCAAACACCCACAGCTCCCGCGGCGCTCAGAGTCCGCTTCCCCCACTGCTCCCGGGAGAGTTCTGAGAGACAATGAGCTTTTCAAAAGCAGGCTCTGCTGGCTAGGGACTCTGACTTCCCCCACGGGACTCAGTGCACACTCTCCTGGGCAAGGTGACAAGAGAGCTGAGCTGCGGGGTCACAGCAGACAGGGAAAGAAAAACGGAAGGGTCCGATCCAGGAAGCATTTAGACAACGAGCAGGGTGCAAGGCAGGGCCCGCGGGTCTCAGTCGGGAGACCCCCACGGGGACAGTCTACACCTCTCTGCCGCCCTGAGACCTGAAAGGCCATCTGCGCACGTTGGAACTGGAACAACACGTCACGGGCGCTCATTACCATCTGCGTCCACCTCGTTGATCATGTCCTGCAACTCCGCTTCTGTTGGGTTCTGACCCAGTGACCTCATGACAGTGCCGAGTTCCTTCGTGGTGATGGTGCCATCACCATCTTTGTCGAATAGGGAGAAAGCTTCCTTGAACTCTGTGGAGAAGAACAAGTTGACCCTTCAGAACAGACGCTGCCACTCAGCCAGCTGCCGCGCATGCGTGAGCCGCCCTGCCCAGGGTCTCCATCTGCTGCAAACAAGACACCACGGGTGTCCTGCGGACTGGGCCACTGTGAAGCAAAGGTCACTCCTAGAAACTGGATCCGGAAAACTCCAGTCTCCTCAGAGCTCTCCAGGCTACGTTCACACACAAGCAGGCTGGCTGACGTGTCGCCTGGGCTCCCCTTACTGGCAAACCTCTGCAGCCCTCAGAACCCCCGTTTCCTAGCAACTTCACAAAGCTGCTGGACGCGCATTCTCTCCACACCACACTGTCAGCAGAGCACAAGAGCATTCGTGGCTTCCTAAAATGAAGCCATCTCAAAGTCTTCCAGCTACTGTGAAAAGAGCTGAAGCAATCCAACTCCCTTCTCAGGAGTCACGGGGACACTGGCCCTCAGCATCACTTGCTCCCATTTAAGACAGTGAACTGGAGCTGTCACAGTGGGTGACCCAAGGACCGGCGTGTCGCAGCTCTGAGTTGCTCATGCCATCTCCTGACATGTAAGGCTCTCAGTAAGTGATGCATTCACAGCCACCATGGAGTGCAAGGAGCGGGAAGGGAGGCCCCGGCTCCTGGCCCTTACCCTTGGCTCTGCTTTATTGTCAAGGAGTGGTTCGGATTGAAACACATCTACAGTTTCCATCTGAATAAATCCTTACAAATCCTTGTAAAGACTGCAGTGGGGATAGGAGTCCTGTGCCCTGTTTGGGCCTTCTTGGCCACTGCCCAGAGATGCCAACTTACCAGCAATCTGCTCTTCGGTCAGCTGATCAGCCTACACAAAGAAAAGAAAAAGGTCCTAGTTAAATCCATGACGCTTTGGTTGCAACCAGTATCATCCAGTATCATTCCAGTAAATGGAAGCATTTATTTTCAATGTGTAATCTTTCAAAATTATATAAAAAGTCTTAAAACCATGTCATGAAATGAAAGCTACCACGATAAAGGAAATAACTTTATGCTATTTTAAAGGAAGTGACAACATGTGCCCTTTTCTTGATCCAGGGGCTTGGAACACACTCCGAGGGCTCCAGCACGCAGGCTGCAGCGGAGGCTCGGGGGCAGAGCGCCACCTACCGCGCTAGGGACGCCGCACTCGCCGCTTCCATCCAAGACCCAGGGCAGTGCGGCGGCTGCAGCCAGCTCCGGATCCTGTCCAAGGCAGGCTTCTAGAGCACCTTGCGCATTGCTTCGGGCCTCCCAAATCTCCAAACTGGCAGAGTTGTTACATAATGGCATTGGGATGGATTAAAAGACTTTCACATCCATTTTATGATAAGTAATTAAATGGGAGGAAAAAAAATACAGAAATGGGTTACCCTACCAACTTCATTACATGCTTTCCAATCGTTTCAAATAGGCAGTTATTTGTTGAGAGCCTACTGTTTGCAATGGCTAATGCCCCTGGACAAATTATCCTATGATTCAGAAACCAAGAGAAGAATGGAACCGCCCTTTCAACCGTGGTGTTACAAAACTGCAAAAATCAAGCATACACAAAACGACGAGGTAATTACGAGACCAGTCTTCTTTCTTCTGGTCCAAGTGAAGTAACTATTAAACATGCGCGGGTGTTTACCCTGCCTCAACAATGACCTAAGACCTGCTGGTAATAAACGTTCTTTCCTCAAGGTGGTAATGGCCGCGCAGGTAATTCTCAATTGCCTTTATTGGTCTCTGCCCCAGCTCAACCTGCGCCTGCAGCCAGGCGAATGCAGCTCTCCAGCACAGCTAATATGTCTTTGCATTTTTTACTGAAGGATCCCTAATGAAGCCGGTCACAAAGTCTGGCCTGGAGACGGCTGATGGGGGAGCTTTATTCTCTTAAATGGAAACTTTCACAGTTCCCCTGTCGACATGGGGGAGGGAGCGGAGAGAATGACTTTTTTTTTTTTCAAACAAATCACAAGCAGGTCTTCCCTGCCATCCCAGTCACTGAGAGGTGAATTCTCTTTCCATCACACGAAGACGATGCGCTGGTTTATGTAATGCCAGGGCAACGCCTGCCTGTCTCGTACAACAGGAAGCACCACCACACCTCAGCCAGGGCTGTCACCTTCCGGGGAGGGGCACAGTCCCACCTGGCCACCAGACCCGGCCATCCTCGGGGCCACCCTGAGCATCCAGGGTCGGGGCCAGCCTTGGAGGAGGAACACACGTGACCACCTCCCCAACCCGCCACTCCCAGAGGAAGGTGCGGGTGATGTCAGCCCTGCCTGCCCAGGGAGGAAGCCGGGCCGAGGGGCGCGCGCCCAGCGAGGCGCACAGCCGCATCTGGCTGCCCAGAGGCTACCCAAGGGCAGGCGGGGCTGGCGACCCCCGTTCCCAGCTCCCACTCCCAGGCCGTGGCCAAGGCCGCCCCCCACTTCCCACCCGCATCTGCTCCCCAGGCAGCGAGCTCACCCGCCCGCCCGCCCGCCTCCTGGAGCTGAAACTTTGCGTCTCTAATGGAAACGAGCCGCGCGCCAGCTCCCTCCTCCCCCGCCCGTCCCAATTAGCGTGAGCCCAGAGCCTCCCGCGGGAAGGGGCCCGGGGAGCGGGCGCGGCTCCCGCAAGCTCGGCCGCCGCAGCAGCGCGCGGGCGAGATGTGGGGGGGTGCGGGCCCGCAGGGGCGCCCGGAGGGGCAGGCGCGAGGTCCGGCCACCGCCCCGCAGGCCCCGCCCGGGTGTGCAAGGGCGGCCGGCCGGCCCGCCGCTTCCGCCCTCTCCGCCCCCCACCCCGCGCCTTCCTGCCCCCACCCCACCCTGCGCCGGCTCCTTCCTTCCCAGCCCACGCCCGCGCCGCGCCCCCCGGCAGGAAGGAGGGGACAGCCGCAGAGGGAGGACGCCCCAACACAAGCGCCCCCCGCCCCCCAAAACCCCGCGGCCGGACCAAGGTGCGCCACCAGCTCGCCCCGGCCCATTCATTCTCCGGGGCCAGGGACGCGGCCAGGGTGGGGTGCGGCAAGGAGGGCAGCGCAGAGTTGGGGGGGCGTCCGGCCCCGCCCGATTCCCCACCCCTCCCCCGTCTCCCGGACCCGAGCCGAGGCACAAGGTTGCAGGCAAGACTGGGTGCGGTGCGCTGGATGTAGTGGGTGCGGGGCTGGTGGCTGGGAGGGGAGGGAGGATGCGGAAGGCCCTGGTGCAGCTGCGTCCGCAGCCACTGCCCGCGGACAGCTCGCCGCCAAGTCCAGCGTCCAGGGGCGGGAAAAGGGCGGGGGGAACCCCATCTAAATGAAGATCCCTGGCCGTGAGGACCAAGATGCAAATCCGAAATGCCTCGTTCTTCCCCGCACATGCTGCGCAACACCCGGGAAAGAAGGACGGGGAAGGGCATGGGAGCAAAGAACCCAAAACCAAGAAGGAGGGACAGAGGGGGGAGAAAAAAATAGAACAAACAAAAAAATCGAGGTTAGATCCCGGACAGCAGCAGCAGCAACAGCTGGTACGCCGGCCACTGACCACTCTCGACCTACCATGGTGCGAGCGGAGGGAGGACGATCCGAGGGAGCGAGGCTGGCTGCACCCGCGCAGGGGCTGTGACGGCAAGGGGTGCCTCCGGCGCTGCTGCCGCCGCTGCTGCTGCCGCCGCCGCTGCTAAGGCGCCGTGTGCGCTCTGCGCCGTGCCGCCGCTGCCGCCTGCGCCGCCCGACTGCGAGTAACGGCGCCGCGTCCACGAGCCACCCAGCACCACTGTCCGGGGCGCGAGCCTGCGCCCTGCCGCCTATATATAGACGGCGCGCCGTATCCCTCCGCCGCGGCGGGGCCGCCTGGCGCACGGCGGCACTGCGGCGAGCCGGACCTCGCCCGCTGGCCCCGCCCCGAGGCCCGCGCGCGCTCCCGCCGCCCTCTGCGCGCTCCCTGCGGCCGCCGGCCCAGCCCTGCGTCCTGGTCGCTGGGAAGGAGAGGGACCTGGGGGTCGGAGGGGATGGATGGCCCTTGGGCCCGGTGCGCCACCGAGAGCGGTGCAGCCTCGCGTCCAGTGAGGCTGGAACGACGCACAGAGCCCCCTACCTAGCCAGACCTAGATGGAGGTGACGACTCGGGGTTTCTGAAGCCCTGCGCCCCTCAGCCCTAGTGTCACCCCATCCAGTCTGGGATGACCCTTCCCACCTCAAACTCTCTTGCCTCGGCCCTGCTTCCCTCCTGGGCTGCTTCCAGGGCAGGGAGGTCCCGCAGCTGCGGTGCGGGCAGGAGGGGGGAGGGACAGAGGGACCACGCACCTGCACCTGCTGAGCAGAGAGGTGTTCGCAGGGGAACCACGGTGCTAGCCCTCGTGGAAGACAGCGCTCGGGGGGGCTTTTCCTTTGCTTTTCAGATTTTTAACAAGTATCCGAAGCACATTCTTATTTAGACTGGTAAATCTGTGTTGTGTGCGTATGCTTGGCAAGTCTTCATGTTTTTAGGTTCTCACTGGATTGTTAAAGGGTGTCTGGATATTTCCCCCCTACTGTTTTGTCCTCATTTCCCTATGGAAAATACCATTCACCCACATTCCGCTTTTACTAAAGTTAGTGTACCTGTGTTGCTGCTACAAACCCTGAAATTCATGCTCTCGGTGTTTTGTAATTTTCCTGGTGGGAGAGGGATCCAAATGTTTGTTCAAAAATTCATAGGATCGAAGAGGGCGGGGAGGGAAAACACCTCGAGCCCCCTAGTTCATGGCTGGACATCTACAGCCGATTTGTGGAACTAGATCTTGTGTTTTAACCTGCGATCTTGAGGATACTCCTTTTAAAAGAATAATGTTTGAATTTACTGTTTCTATTGCTCCGGAAACCAGAAGAAGGTCAGTTCGAATCGGGAATTGGAAGCTCCGGGGCTTGTGAAAATCCTAAACAGAATGCTGCAGTTTCTTTGGCTTGCCAAGGCAGACCACAGAATTTGATCTTTTGTTTACAGGGCCTGGGTAACAGTTACAGGTTATGCATTCCCTTGCGGAGACCATGGCAAAGTGTGTCAGCAGCCTACCGGGCCAGGAAGCGCTTGAAAAGCTGTGTGTGTTTGCTTCTGGTTTTGACAAACTCTGCAGAAAGAAGTTTTCAGAGAGTGGGGGAATGAAGTCTTCGTGAAGCTGTGTTGGCTGATGCTCTGGGCGCTGCAGCCAGGAGGAGCTGCCGCAGGGAGCCAGCGAACCCGAGAATGGCACTGTCCGCTCCCCAGGCAGCTTTGCACAGGAGTATTTCGTTTTTCACGCCGCAGACCTACCTCCTCCCCACACCCCAGTGCCATCCCTGCACTCATCAGGGAAAAGCCGAGTGGGAATAGACGACACCATAACAAGAGAGCTGAAAGTTGAAGAATACCCAGTAATCCGGTACAGTTACAAATCTAACTGGCCAAATTCATTATTAAACTACTTTGTCTGTTCTGGGGTTTGTGTTCTTTCTCTTGCGATTCCCATGGAGCTGTTAATTAAATACATTTGATAAAATGCATTTCTAAATTCTGGAAATGAGAAATGTTTCATTTTTAAGGATTTACTAATTTCTGGTAGCCTGCCTTGTAATTGTTTTGGTTAGGTTGCTATCATTTCTGATTTTTCAAAATGCCTATTTTTTGAAAGAGCTCGTCCATCTGCTGGTTCGCTCCCCCAAATGCTTATACCAGCCAGAGCTGGGCCAGGCTGAAGCCAAAAGCCCGGGCCTCAATCTAGTCCCCTTCATGGGCGCCAGGGACCCAAGTACTTGAGCCACACACTGTTGCCTCCCAGTGTACATTAGCTGGAAGCTGAGGTTGGACAGTTAGCCAGGTCTTTGAGAATAAGCATCCTGTGTGGGTACTCAGCCACTGCACTAATGCCTGCCCCATACATTCTATGATTTTTCAAAGTCAGCCATTCTCTAATTTTTTTTCCCTCTGTCATTTCGGCTTATTCCATCCAAATAAAATACTTGGAAAGTTTTTCATGTTTGTACTTGCTAAAAGCTGTACAGTTTGGCATTTTAAAAACCATTCTAATAAACTCTAATTTCCTGAGTCTTCTTGCTGTACCAACTAGAGCTCTCTTCTGGTCATTCTTTAAGATATCAAAGCACATCTTAGCTTTCAAGTCTGGGGGTTTACAATGAGATCAGGCTTCGCAAAGTTTTATGGCTAGTTTGACACATTGAAACATAAGAAGGTCAAGTGACTTGCCTGAGGTCTTCCCGTGAGTCAGTGATGCCGCATAGAGTTCACTCCTTGCTCAGGGGCCCTAATATTAGATTATATATCAGTGAAATCAGCATCTAAGACTTTTAAAGGTACCGCGTTAGAGACTTGTCTATTTCCTAAAACTGATTTTTCTGACTGACAACATGCATGAGCCACATTATTGTAATTTTTTTTTTAAGATTTCATGTGTTTATTTGAAAGACAAGTTACAGAGAAAGAGAGATGAGATGGTCCATCCACTGGTTTACTCCACTGCCTGTGAATACATCCATTCCATGTGGATGCTGGTTCGAGTTCAGGCTGTTTCACTTCGATCCAGCTCAGAATAAATGGACAAATGGGAATGATTTTAATATCTACTGAGTAATGGCTATGGCGGGCCTTACAACACACTGTTTCATCCTGCCCATCTCGCGGAGCAGGGTTGTCACCCTGGGGATGAAACTGAGGCACTGAACGAGTCACTGATTTGCCTCACTTAAGATCAAACTCCAAACTCTAGCCCAAGCATGACGCCATAATTCTCTCCTGCAGCTTAATGCGGTGTGTTCTTCATTTAATAGGAGTGAAGCGTCACACTGCTTGTGATGGCTGTCTGCACCTCATATGGCAGTGCCTGGGCTTAGGTCCCGGCTCTGCTTCCGGTTCCAGCTCCCTGCTGATGCATACCCTGGTGGGCAGGGGTACTGACTGAGTCCCTGCCCCCACATGGCAGACCTGGATTGAAGTGCTGCTTCCTAACTTCAGGCCTGGCCCAGCCCCAGCTGTTTAAGGCATTTGGGGGGATGAATCATCAAATCAGAGCTCTCTTTCTGTTGTCTCTCAGTGAAATAAAAAATTTAAAAAGCAAAACTGATGGCTTCTTTTAAAAATTGTTCTAAAAGTTAAAATAACATCGCAGGAATCTGGTAATTTTTTCACAGCCCCTCCTCCCCAGGGCATACATAGGGAACAGGGAATGAAAGAAAACCCAAGGCGAAACCTTTACTTTGGGGTGTGTTCTAGCTGGAGGATAATTCTCCTTTTTCCTCTGAGGCCTAGAGTGGAGGAGAGACTTTCACACCGTCCATCATTGAGCGGATGGTTCTAACCTCTCAGTGAGGCAGTGACTGGCAACTCCCCAGTCCCAGTCCTGATGAATTAACATTTATTTATTGTACCTCATACTCTTCATACAGTCAGTGTGTGCTTAAATGCTCAGAATGTTAACAGTGAAAAGGATTTTTTTGAAGGAGCTTGCAATTTCAAATTGATGCTCCAATCCTGAGCTATCTTGACAAATAAAACAAAAACAAAAAAGCAACAGCCAATTATTCTTGTCTCCTGTCCCTCCTCTGCCCGTGGTCCCTCCTGTGCTGTGGTCTGTCTGTGACTTGATGAATGTCCAGTCTTTGGGATTCTCTGCCTCCCTGACTTTCCCCAATCATCAAAACAGTTGCTTGCTGTTTGTAAGTACTCCTGGACGCATACTTCATTAACTTGTATACAGGCTTAACATAAATATCAATGAACAGATGCCTCATAATATTTCCATTTTAAGTTCTGCTAGTATCTCTCATTGTTGGCATCACCTTCATGGAGAAGTCCTGTAGCTGAGGAGTACAGGAAGCATTCTTACTGCACACTTACATTTGCAAAGTATGTTACCATCAGAACATGAGATGTGTTAGGTGAAGACTACTCACGGTGAGAGAAGCATGATTGATTTGTGTGTACAGGGTCTCTGTAGTATTGCATGATGTTAAGCTAGGCCCGGCCGCAGTTGCTGTCCTGCTGTATGCCCCAGCTCTCGATGGTCATCAGTGCCATTCTCCTAGTCTAGTCTAGCAGAGGACACACCTTCCCCTCTGTTCACAGGCCTTGTGATTGTTTTGCTAGTGTAGCTGTGGTGATGGATTTTCACGCCTCTATTCTCTTTCTGGCTGGGCCACCCTTGTGGCCAAGGTCATGAATATGTAACACAGCAAGCTGTGGTCAGGGATACAGAACCAGGACAGACCAAAATAATGGACCATTAATAAGACTGAACCCATGACGTGGACCTCAATAGCTCATTCGCTTGAACCCTCTGCATAGGCACCCAAAGGTTAAGTAGAGTATGTCAATTCCCATTGCAAAATGCTTGATTACAGTTTTGTGCTTTCGTTGTTAACACCAAATTTAAACTGGTTTTGAAAGAAAAAGTGAAGCTGACCTATTGAGCCAAGTATTCTGTAAGCCTTACTATTTTTGAGAGTTCTTTAACTACCATTAATCTGAAATCCAGGCGCAAAAGTAACTTCAGCTAGCATCCAGAGGATAACCGGCAACTTCTCATTCCTGCCATATGTGCTCGAGTGGGAGACAAACCTGACAGCACATCCAAGACTCCGCCATGCAACACTAGGCACTCAGCAGCTTACAGAAGAGTTGACAATGACTCGGTTAAGGGGGATGTGGCCCCAGTGGTAAGCTAAAATCATAGGCTTGGGGGTGAGGATTTGCCGATGGAACAGAGCTAGTGAATGGCACAAATTG